GTTCTGTTGACAGCCAAGGCTCTTCTTGGGGACAAAGGGAAGACACCCTCCTGTTCTGGCTCCTCCCTGGGGGCCCTGGAAAGGTCCCACCCTAAYCCACACTTTGTCAGAGACCCAAGGTGCCTGGTTCACCCACCTCCCACTGCACAGGGCATCCTCAGAGCCAGGTGCTTCACTGGCTCCTCCTTCCCACAGGTAAAGACACCTGGGTTACAGGGCTTGCACCAGCTGAGGTCTGCCTGGGCCGTGCCTCCCTCATCCACCCCRCAGCCACTGGGAGCTGCTTCCTGGGCTCCAGGAGTGGGCCTGGACTCCCCTGTGGAGCTGGCGCTTCCTGCCCAGGCGGAGGCCCAGAGCAGGCTCAGCTGTGAATTTGTGCTCCTTCGACTCCCTCTCGTCTCCATGGTCATCGGGTCAGGGTTCCCAGGGTCTGCATCACTGCCACCCTTGGTGTCTGTCATTAGAGATGAGAGGAAAAGGTGCCCAGGTAGGACCAGGGCGATGCTCCCCCAGGGTCAGACCCTGAGCCTTCACTCGACTTCAGACGCAGCCCCGCGACCAGGGAGGGCAGAGTCCCCAGGACAGAAGACAGTGCCCTGCGATGGCCGTGGACACACCCTGACACCCGAGTCCTTCCCACAGACCATGTGGATATTGCTTGGGCGATGGACCCAAGGACAGGGGACTCCAGAGGAGCTGGGCACCAGTGGACACACAGGAGCAGGTGAGGGTCTCGACACCCAGAGTGTSGACGTGGCTCTTGGTCCACGGGGTGCGGGGGTACCAAGGGATCAGCAGGGTCCAGATCCCAAGTCCACTCACAGTGGGCTTCAGGCCACAGACCCTCCAGCAGGCACTTTCCATTCCTCCCATGTGTGACTGGAACAGGAGCAACAGAGGTTGGCAGAAGCCACGCTGGGTGGGTGGCCTGCTGTGCCGGAGTCAGCAGAGCGTGGTCAGCCAGGTGAAAGGGCCCCGGTGCTCCCCTCTAGCTACCCCCAGCCAGAGAATTCTCACCCTTGGTAGAGCCATGAACAGAGCCTCCTGGGTCAGGCACCGGCCATCTGCCCTCCGCTCCTTTGCCAGTCTGGTCCTGCAGGAGAGAAGGCTCTGGTGGAGGAGCGTGGACTGCTGCAGACCGGCCACAGGGAGCCGGTCTTGGATCTGGGTGGGCGGGCGCTGGACATTGTGGGCCTTTCMTGAGTTCTGTGCGGGCACATCCACTTCAGATGAACAGATGGAGGTTCTTTCTCCTGCTGCCATTGTTGGTGACACTTGAAGTCTTTCCTTCCCAGGTCACATCCTGCTTCTAATGTGTGGCCCACACAGAGTCATCTCCTGGACTCCCTACTCTGGACGTCTCTAATGGGTCGTCCCTGGCCCAGAGCTCCTCGGTGGTCACCTTGGGTCCTTGCTGGGCCTAGTGGCCACTCTTCCTCCGTTCTTCCTCTCCTTCCACAGGGCTCMGATCTTCCCTGATAAACGTCCTACCCAGCATCTCCCCGGAATTTGCATTTCCTGGCCTGTGGACGGGAAGGACGTCCCAGTCTCTTGCTGGTCAGTGTTGTGGTCATGGGAGTGAGGGGAGCCTTGGCTGTGCTCTAGGCAGGTGGGGGAGGCTATTTCAACAGGACAACGATGGGCACTGGGGGCTCTAGCTCTGCAGCAGGGAGCCCCAGGAGGAGGCCTGGGCATCTTGGTCTCTGGGGGTCCCCGTGGGGGTGTGGGCCCTAGGGTCTGGCAGGAGTCAGCGTTTGGCCTAAGCATCTGGTTGGGCTCTTGGGAAGGCAGGGCAGCGCAGGTGTCGGGGGAGTTCAGAGGCATCCTGATGAAGAGTAGGCGGGACAACATGGTCCCTCAGCTGAGCGGCACTGGGCCCCGTGAGCTCGGAGCTGGAGAAGAGTCCCTCCTGGCACGGCACGTGGGCTGGGGAGCCATCTCGAGGGGAGGACAGCAGGAGGAAGCCCTGAGCCCCAGAGRGACCACCCCACCCACTAGCGTTTCAGGACGGAGGAGGACCTGCCTGCCTGCCTAGGAGGTCGGGGATGGCCGGGGGGYACGTCTCCGCCAACCCCTTGGAAGGCCAGGTGGCCCCTGGCGGTCCGGGCAGCACTGCTGGGGTGTGGCCAGTCCCAGAYGGCTGCCTCAGCGTCCCTCTCCCTGGAGCTTCCTCCTCAGACTTCCCTCTCTGACAGATGCATCTGGCCCCCACCCCACGGGCCTCACACAGCAGTGGGAGGCTGAGTCCTGGGGCACGAGGGCGGGTGTCAGCAGTGCTGGTCGGGAGGAGGAGGCTTTGTCYGAGCCTGGAGGGCTCTGCCTCTGGCCTGTGACTGAGGCATCATGGCCACCCACAGTCCTGAGCTGGACCTGGAAGGCAGTGGGCAGCCACTGCCCCTCAGCTGTCCGACTTGGGGTCTTCCTGGGGTGGGTGGCCAGGACATGGGGGGGGCTCTGGTCAGTGTTCTGACAGTGGTCTTTCTGGGTCCCCAGGGTGAGGGTGGGGACACTGGCGCAGGAGGACCCGCCTTGCTCCCAGGCTCCAGGCTGTAATTTGTGCTATATTTAGCAAGCAGAGCTGGTGGGCAGGGAGGCAGGCCACCGGGCTATAAGCAGACTCGGTGCCCACCCTGGAAGTGCAAGTCCCCGCCAGGAAGAGACGGCGCTGGAACCCATGGACACGTCCTACCCCCGTGARGGCCCCCGGGCCTCCACTCCCCGCCAGGTTGACGGTGCTGCCCACACAGCCCTGGTGCTGGGACCGCCAAGCCCCCCGCCTCGCGACCACTTGATCTGGTCCGCCTTCAGCACACTCTACCTGAACCTGTGCTGCCTCGGCTTCCTGGCGCTGGTGCACTCCATCAAGGTGGGCGGAAGAAGTGGCGGGAGGGGCTGGGGGCTTCAGGGAGACTCAGGGTTGTGAGGAGGGGCTGGGGGCTGTGCGGAGAGTGCAGGGTCTGCCAGAGCGGCTGCGGGCTTGAAGGGGCAGCTTGTGAAGGGGGCTGTGTTAGTGTGGCCACAGTTTCTCTCCAAGGTGAGAGAACCCCTGCTTCTCCACTCAGGGGTGCTGTCTACAGCCAAGCCCTGCTCCTCAAGGTGGAGACAGCCCCTTGATGATGACGGAGTCCATGGGGCTACCTGCAGTTCCCTTTCCCCAGAGGGGGATTCTCATCTGCGGTGGCTCTGCAGTGAGACCGGTGGCTTCCGTTCCTCTATGGGTTTGTGGTCTCAGCTCCCCAGAGGACTCCCTGCCTGCAGAGGGATCTTGGGAGCTGATGCTGACCTGCGATGGCCACTGGGTCCACATCTTGGACACAAGGAGCCAGGCGCCCCTGGCAGCACCCATTGGGGTGGGTGGCCATCGGGACCCAAGGCCCACCGAGTGTCAAGCAGTGTGTCAAGCTGGGGACCAGGGAGGAAGTGGGTCTAGCCCAGAGAGTGTCCCCTCAGGCCACACCCCTCCACCTCGATCCTGGGTCCAGTGCAGACCCTCCAGGTGCTCTGGGTGCATCTGGGGCCAGGCCCCAAGGCAGGTGTTGATCTGGCCCTTCGGCTGCCCTGCAGGCCCGAGACCAGAAGGTGGCCGGGGATCTGGAGGCAGCACGGCGATACGGCTCCAGAGCCAAGTGTTACAACATCCTGGCTGCGATGTGGACGCTGGTGCCTCCGCTGCTGCTGCTGGGGCTGGTGGTGACCGGTGCCCTGCACCTCTCCCGCTTGGCCAAGGACTCTGCGGCCTTCTTCAGCACCAAGTTCGAAGACACAGACTATGACTGACAGGCTGGCTCCTGTCCTGTCCTGTCCCTGGACCCCAACCCTGGAAGGCCTTGAGCTGGGTGCTGGCTCTCATAGGGCCCCTGGCCCCACCTGGCTACCCAGTGCTGACCATTCAGACCCCAGGGACCTGGCCCTAACCCTGAGGTCCCTAACTCCTACCTCTGACCCTTTCCTCTTACTCCCCAGGCTCCACCTCCATCACAATTAAAAGTGCCAGGTCCCTGACCTGCCTCCAGGGCCTCCTTCCTGGCTTCAGTGTGGGGGGTGCCCCAGGCCCACCCTCCCTCACCCTGCTCTGCTCAGCTGTTCCCGACGGTCCCCCCTCACTTTGCCACAGGGTGGCCTGTGGCTACAGGGTGGAGGCGCCTGAGTGTTTCGGCATGAAGTCGGGGACACAGGCCTCTGATCCCAGCTGCCTGTGGTTTGGTGGCTTGTGTTCAGAACGGGCCCCGCCCGGCTGTGTGCTGCCCCTCCTTGTCTGTCCCTTCAAATCCCAGTGATTTCAGCCCGGTGGGGGTCTCCCTCCCTCCTGGGTGGAGCTGGACACTGTTTCCACCCTCCATGCAGGTCCACAAGTGCAGGCAAGGCCCCTGGCTCCCCCCCTCGGTCCCTCTCTCCTCACCCAGCTGGGCAGAAGCCGTCATGGGGATGTGGATGTGGGAAACCCCGTCGGAGCCCCTGGGTACGTGTTCCTGTACTACCTCACCTCCCTTATGTACCACCTGGCACCCCAACACCCCACACAGCAAAACTGGCAGGGCCCAGCACCTGGGGACACACCCCCAAACACACACGAGGCTGAGGCTGGGGTGCGGCCCCAGCTCGTCACCGAGGTCCTAGCCAGAAGGAAGCTCAGGGATTTGAAGACTCCACGCGGGCTCCCTCCCCAGGAAGACCCCTTTGCCTGCCAGCTCTTCCAGGGATAGAGGCAGGGGTCTCTTGTCTATGGCTCTACTTGGAGACCCCACACAGTCCCCAACCTGTGACATGCCTGAGACCCTTGCTGAAGATAGGGTGTGTGGCCCTGTGCTGGGACCTGGGGGTGGAGACGCACAGGCCCCTGTTGGGCCCTGGAGAAAGTCCCACCGTGAATTAGGGTCAAGGGAAGCGTGAGACCTCTGCTTGAACTGGAATAGAGACAACATGCTGACCCCAAGCCCGGGGTTTGGTTCAAGTAGGGGTCAGCCTGTGCTGGACGAAGAGGCTGGGGGCAGGCATCAACCTCTGTGTGGCTGGGAACATGTCCCTAAAGGTGGGATATTTTACCAGTCCCCACGATCTCATCAACAATGAGGAGGTTGTCTAGTCTGTGACCAGCCACTGAGGACTGTGGCCAAGTCACTCGGGGAAGTGTTACCAGCAGCCCTCTCTCCCCAGGCTCATCGTGGCAGGTTGATGGATGCTGGCCAGGCCTGTGGCCACACACACTCTCACTCCATGGGCCCATCACAGGCACAGAGGTGACTGTATAAAATCACGCTCAGACCTAGCAAGTACCAGGCCACATCATCCTAGGGGTTCAGGGCCACCTGCCACCCCATTCTGATGTCTCTGCCCCATCCTGACTTTGAGGCTGCAAAAAATGAATGTCCACTCCCATTAGGACAATCCCTGGCCCACAGCAGAGAGAAGGGGGCCCACGGTCCTCAGCAGATCTGCCTTGTCACCCAGCCAGAGTGTTTATAGGGCCTTTAGTGAAAAGCCTGTAGGTACCCTTGGCTTCAAGCCATGCACTGGCCTGCARGTGGTCTGCAACTTGACCCTCAGCCCCTGCCCACCTTGGCTCTGAGCTCCAGCAAGCATGCTGCTGGCTCACTGTGGCCTGGAGGCCTGGTGTCCATGGATCCCTGTCTCTGCACTCCACACTTTCTATGGGGGTGGCCATGAGAACCCTCCTTTCAAATCTCCTGGGTGTGGAGGCAGCTGGCTCAGGCCCTGAGTGTTCCAGCCTGAGGGGCTGAGGACGGGAGACCGGGAGACAGGCCCTGGGATTCCCACGTCTAGAGCTGCCTGAAGCCCAKGAGTGCTCTGCCTGGTGTATGCAACTGCGACCAGGGGGCAGTGGCAGGACACAGCCAGGAGTGGAGGCCGGCGTGACTGGACCACCCGGCTCCCAAGCTGCTGCACTTGCCCGCAGGTGAGGTGGAAACTCGACATCACACAACCCCACTTTCAGAGGAATGTATAGGCCTTTATAGGAGCAAGCTCTTCCCAGCACTGACTGGACTCTGCAGGTTGTCCGGTGCCGGGTCTGGACCTCACCAGTGTCTCAGCTCCAGATGCCATCTCACCCCGTTCTAGGAAGTCACTGGTGAGCCACCCCAGGCTGGAGGGTGTGGGAGCTGCTGCCAGGCAGAATCTCTGTCTGTGAACAGCCGATCGMAGCCTGGCCTGGGATCAAGGCCTGGGACCCAGCACATTTGATCTAGTCCCTCTRGTGGCCAGTGGGGTGCTGAGGGTCTTGCTCTGGCACCCCAGTCCTATCCTCCAGCAGTGGCACCCCCTTCCCTTCTCACAGGCCATGGGGTTGAGGACGGGCTGCCCACCCCACCCCACAGGGCCAGAGGCCATCTGACATGGAGTCGAGAGGAGTCAGTGACGACACCCGTGCACCCCTGGTCCAGCCTGACCACAGCTGCACTGAGGGGATTCTGGGAAAGCGGTAGCTGACAGTCCTGGGCAACTGCGCAGGGGTAGAGCCCCTGCCTCCTCACCCTCACCCTGCCAGGGACTCCCCTCACGGGCCCTGTGACCAGAGTCCAGGTGGGTGTGAGTGTGGACACTCAGGCCCTGGCTGCAGGGGCCCTGGAGAGTGCCTGGGGAGCCAGATGGGGCACTGAGAGACGGGGTGCCAGGTCAGATGAGGTGTGGAAAAGTGCCTGCCCATGGAGTCGAGGCTGGGGAGGGGCTCAAGCCACAGACAGCCTGGGACTGGGGGAGGGTTGGGCGAGGAGCAGGGGGCAGTGATGAAAAGTGGGGTTCAGGAGACATTTCTGAAGCCAGCAGCCCTAGTCATTCCGGGGCAGGGCTCCAGGGGGAGGGCCTGGGGGGCTGAGGGCTCCAGGATGTCCCAGAGGCTCTGGAGCAGGCGTCTCAGGTCTTCAAATCTTCTCCCAGGAAATTCCTGGAGTCAGCGCTTCAGGCAGCTAGGGGCGTGATCTTTGTATGCGGCCAGCTGAGTGGGGAAAGGAGGCCTTGTGTCCTGCAGGGAGAGAGGGGCGCCCTGTAGGGACACACTGGCATCCTGGTCTCATCACTCAGACCTCTACCTACCTGGCAGCAGAGGCAGCCGAACCTGTGATGGCCAGAGCTCAGCCTCCAACAGAGGGGCCCAGGGCCCAGCCTGGGCCGTGACCTCGACTGTCACGGAGTCCTCGGAGATGACAAAGTTGAGCTTGTTCCCCTGGTAGGAGATGCCAGAGACACACACTCCGGAGAGCCCCGCTGGACACAGGGGGTCAAAGGTCATGCCGGCCTTGGTGACCCTGCAGGGAGAGCCGTGTGAGAAGGAGGGGCCGGGGGCCACCCCCAGTGCCACCCTGCACTCACCTGAGGCCTGTGCTTCCGAAGAGTACTGCCTGCAGGAAGCCCCCCATGCCTGTCAGGAAGTTCACTGCCCCCGACCCATCGGCATTCTCCGTCCACACCTGTAGGTCAGGGGCCGTCAGTGCCAGGGACCCCAGGGCACTGGACAATACCTCCCCCGACGGACACGGGCAGCAGAGTGGTCAGGAAGAGGGCCCTGGACTGGAGTCAGGCTGACCTTGAAGGGCTCAGTGACATTGGCAAAACTCCTGTCCAGAAGCCTTCGTGCCCTCAACGGGTCCTTCAACTCCATCCAGCCCACCGCAAACATGCTCTGGGGTCAGAGTTCAGAGTTCAGTGGGGTGAAACCCATCTTAGGGAGAGAAAGACGGAGGCTGATAAGGTGGGGCCACTCCCCAGGCTTCTCACCCAGGTCATGGCTGGGCCCTGGGGGGATGTCACAGCCTCGTACATCTCCAGGTTCTTCCTGCGGACGTCAGGACTCAGGGGGAAGGGGACGGGGTACCCCAGGAGCACGACGTCAGCCTGCTTCACTTCCTCTCCTGGGGAAGATGCTGCTGTTGAGGGCCCATCAGGTGGATGCACGGCTCTTAGGCCAGGCAGAAGGCCCCTTGGCAGAAGTCCAGTCCACTCACCAGGCTCATACCCATCAAATTCAGGGTGGAAGTTCCGCTCCGGGTCAAAGGGCACCTTGATCTTATCAGCCACCACCAGCCACTGGTTAGGGACAGGCAGACCCAGGTCCTCGGCCAGACCAGCTGCAAAGTGCAGACTGTGGAGAGGGGACAGGTCGTAGCCTCAGTGCTTCTGGCCGGCCCTGCTTGCTGGGGTGGGGCTGGGGCACGGTTTAGAGTCTGACCTGGTCTGGACCAGGACATTGGTGTAGGTGGAGTTGTTGACTCCTGAGTGGTACTCATCAGGGGGCATGACTCCTGGGCACACAGGTGCAGACAGTGCTCAGTACAGGCTGCCCCCCAGCAGTCCCTCCTCCTGACCATTTCTCCCAGGGATCACCTCACCTCTCAGGTGGTACTGCTTCTCCCTGGAGCTCCACTCTACCCGGCTGCACCAGAACTCAGCAACAGCACTGACCACATCCCAGCCACCAGCCTCCCGGAAAAGCTGCAGATCCTGGGGGCCAAGGGTCCTATGTGKGCTGAGTGCCCACCCATCCAGCAACCAGAAAGGAAGGCCTGGCTCCCAGATTCTCTCTTGTGATAGCAGGCCTCGGGTGGCAGGGCTGGTGGACGKAACACCTCACCTGGGTGGTGTAGTAGTACAGCTGGAAGGCCAACAGGACCGCCCCATTGATGTGGATCTCCTGAGCCCCATAAATGTCCTCAGGGCAGACCTCCAGGCCAGAGCCTGCACTCTCCCAAGCAAACTTGGCTCCCTGTGGGGGAGGGGGCAGATGCCACCCGACCTTAGCCTTTACCCCATGGGACCTTGTGGAAGGGCAAAGAGAGGAGGAGGCGGGGGCTCTGGAGCCCATGCACGTTCCTCCATRGGCCAGGAGGCTCTTGCCCAGTTCTTTCTGTGTGTGGACCCTAYGGTGGTGCCCAGAATTCCTCACCTGGTAGCCCAGGTTCCGGGCATTTTCCAGGGCCCCACTCAGTGTCCTGATGCGGTACTCCAGGATGGCCCTGGCAGCCTCTGGGTGGAATATCAGGATATTGGGGAACATCCAGAGATCCTGAGGACAGTCCTGGTTCTGGAGCTAGAAGGGCTTACACCTTCTCCTTCYCCGACTTCCACATCCTGCCCTGGCTGGGCCTTTGCTGCACCCTCTCTGCCTCTTGGAGGCCTGCTGCCTCCTTCCAGGTTCTTCCTGATGACCCTCCAGATCTACCAGCCCCTCCCCAGCCTTCCACTTCCCCTCCCTAGCCAGCAGGTGAGTTCCCAGGCCCGAATSTAGGCACAGGCCACTACAGGAGGAGCCTGCTCTCTGCCTGCTGGTTGCCTGACCTCAGCCTCCCTAGCCTCGCCCATAAAATAAGAGTCAGGGCTGACTTGGGAGGCACATGAGGAATCACCCTCCGCGCCTCCTTGCCCCGTGCCAATAAGCCTCCTCACGCCGCATCCTCAGCTTAGTCTGGCCCACTCCTTGCTCTTCTCCACTAGCTCCACTTGGTACCTTGGGGGTCTTCCCAGAACGGGCCTCTGTGTCACTCCCTGATTAAATGTTCCTGGTTTCCTGGCCCTCAGGTAAACTCTAGGCCCTGTGCCCTGATGCTCCTCTCATGTCCCTGGTTTCCTTGGCCCTTGGTAAGCTCCTGCTGCAAGTACCACCGGGGCTGCCATGTGCATCTTCTGGTGCTCCTGCTGGGCTCGCTCTCCAACGGATTCCCGCACTGCCGAGATACCACCTCCTCAGGAAGCCCTCCCCTGGGCACAGCCCTGGGCTGGCCCATCCCAACCCCAATCCCCGTGCCGCCCTGAGTGTGGTGGTGGTGAGGGATGATGGGTACCTGATCCCAGAAGACGTGGCCCCAGTAGCACTCCTCCTGGCTCCCATTGGAGAGGCCCCCGGGGCTGAGGCCATGACAGACATACCCTAAAGCCCCGAGTTGGGGCAGGGCACTGAGCAGGTAGTAGAGGGAGCCACGAAGGGCCTGGCGCAGGGGCAGTGGTCCTACCACATCCAGGCCACAGCCTGCCCACAGCTGGGCCCAGGACTGGGCATGGGCTGGGTATAGAGAGCCTCTGGCCTGCAGCTGCAGGGCCTCCTGGAGGTAGGCCTGGGCCTCTGCCTGGCTGCTGCCCACCACAGTCAGGAAGTCCCAGGTCCTGTTCTTCTCGTGTTCCCCCAGGGTCAATGTCAGGGGCACTGGTGTCCACAGCATGTGCACCTCCTGTCGTGGCCCCCCAGGTTGCTCAGGGGTGAGTGTGTGGCCATACAGGTACCTGCAAGAGGACAGCCACCTCAGGGGTGGCCCCCTCTTTAGGTTACCCTGCTGGGACTTGGGACAGAGCCCCCTCCTCACCGGACTCCCTGGAAGTCGGGCCCCAGATGCAARTCCAGGTCTGGGCTTTCTAGGGAGAAGGATGAACGCAGCAGCACCGTGATAGGCGAGCTCCCGGCATCCAAGCGTGCCACAGACACACTGAAGGCCAGAATGTGGGGCAGCGTGCGGTGGGCATAGATGCGCTGGCAGGCCTGGAAGCTGGAGCTCACCAGGGTGTGCAGAAAGGAGCCTGGGGAGGGTGCGAAGCTTCAGTCACTGGGGAAGCAGGGCTCCTCCCCCCAGGCAGGCTGCAAAGCTGTGGCCTCCCAGTGCCTTGGGCCACACAGCACTTGGGCCTCCCTGGGCTGGCAGTGGTGTCCCTCAGGTTTCTGGTGGCTTCTCCCCACAGTGAGGGTGAATGCGTCCCCCAGGCCCAGCTCTACAGGACCCAGGCTCTGCCCAGGACCCCAGGAGGCCCACCCARAGGGAGGGAAAGGGGAGAACCCCAGACGGGGTCTCTCCTGCCTCTTTTCCTTAAAGACTGCCTACTGGAAGTGAGGTGAAGCTGGAGGGGGCTGTGCTCCACAGCKGCTGAGAGGGGCCAGACTGTGCAGCTACCTGTGTTGGTGTCCAGGGCAAAGGTCTCCTCCATCTGCTTTCCTGTCTCTGCAGGGGCCTCCAGTTTGACGTTGAGGGGGCTGGGCAGAATGGCTCGGTGTGTGCCACCCCCAGCCCCATTGTACAAGCCACTCACATGCAGTGTGTCATGATACACACGTGTGCCCAGGTATGCATTGGTCACAGTGGCCAGGAGCCGGGGATCACTGGGCAGAGACTGGGCAGTAAACGTGGTCGGGTCTTCCCCGGCATCCTCCATGGAAGGCTCACTTCGGGGGTGACCTGGCGCAGGGGGTCAAGAGGCCGTGACTGGGTGGGCTCTGAAGTCCTCCTCAGGACTTGGCCGACCCCCTAGATGTGGTGGGATCTAAGGGCCACCCAGGAAAACACCGCACCACGGACCTCCGGGGACTCCATTCAGTCTCTAAACTTGCCCCTCAAACTCCGGCTTTAGGTCCCAGCCCACCTTCCCGAGTTCGGAAGCCCCGAGGGTGGAACGAGGAAGCTCAGCCCAGGAACCAGCCCCTCCGAGAGGGGAGGGCGGAAGGGGCGGGCGCGGGACGCAGCGGGTGGTGCGGCAGGAGCGGGAGCTGGGGGGGCGCGCGGGGGACTCTGAGACTCACCGCAGCTCTGGCTCAGCCCCCGATCTGCGATCTGCGTCCCGGGGTTCCCCTGGGTCCGGCTGCCCCGGGCCTGCCTGGGGGAGGCGAGCCTCACCACTGACACGTGACCAGGAAGGCCTGCTGCCCGGCCCGAGCCGCCCACGGGGCGGGGCAGCTAGGCGCCGAGGGCTCGGGCGGAGGCCCCCTCTCCCCTGGGCGGCCAGGCGGTGTCGTCAGGACCTGTTGTGGTCCTGTTGGTCGTGGCTGTGGCCAACCAGAGACCTGAGTGGGGAGTCCTTCGACCCCCAAGATGCCGGTCCGCACCRGTGGATTTAGGGGACCTCGGTGGGCTCTGGATGTGATCTCTTCCCCTTCTCCAGATCTCTCCCTCTCCGCCKTGCCCCTTGCTCGGAGACCCCATCCTCCAGCTCTCTCAGCTGGTGGCACCGTTGGTCTCCCTCTTTCCACCTGCCCACTGATGGCTCTGGGCACGTCCCTGGGCCTGTGGGTCCTATGGTTCAGGCTCCCTGGCCTGACGTACATATCTGTGTCTGTCCGCCCTGCCCAGATTCCGTGGGTCTTGAAACCTGAAACAGAAGCTCACTAAGTTGCCCAGGCTAGGGAGGAGGAATCCAGGATGTGGGGCCAGGGGCATGTTCCAGGCCTGTCCAGGACCAGGCAAGGGCCTGCCTCTGTTTGGGCTTCACTTGCCTGTCCAGGGCCTCTCTGCTCACAAGAGTGGCTCAGAGCCTGAGGGTCTCAAACTGCCTCAGCTTTCTGAGTTGCTGGCAGGACAGGCATGTCCCCTGTGCCTGGCTCACACCCGGTGTTTGCTTCCCATGTTTGTGGATCATCTGTGAGTCCACTGAATTATGCACTCACACACCACGTTTTTACCGGGTCTTGTTCTGGTAGAGCATACTTATTTATTGTCTGTCTTTCTGCCTGGAATAGCAGCTCCCAGGGACAGGGGTTTTGTCTGCTTTGTGGCATGAAGGAATGGATTTATAAAGTGATTGTGGAGGGAATTTCCCCTGGGAAGTGAAGGGGCTGATTCCAGGGTGCCCTCCATTTGGATGGAGTCTCAAGAGCTGGCAGAGCCCAGCTGTGCTGAGCAGAAAAGACTCAAAGTTTCTTGGGACATCCACTATTGGCACTGGCTGGCAAGGTCAGGTCTTGCCTCCAAGCTTTCTGCAGTCAGGCTACTCACTGAGCCTCTTTCCTCTGAGGCCTGAACCCTGTCCTCCCAGGCAGGCGGGTTGGAGGAAAGACCCTACTGGGGCCCTGGTGAAAAGTCACAGAAACCAGTGGAGGTGAATCTGAAGGAGAGTTTATTACCAGTGGTGGTGCTGTTGCGGCTCCCACCTGAGCCACACATTGGCTATCTCCACCCGCCCTGGTCTCCCCTTCCATAGATCTCAGGCAGCTAGTGGACGCCTCTGGGCTCAGGCTACACTACCTCAAGGATGGCCTCAGTCCTCCCAGATTCCCAGAGAGGGCCCCACCACCTTCTGCCTACAGGTCCAGAGTTGTGGGGCTGAGAGTCCACTTCAGGTGGAGGCCAGGTCAGAGAAAGGGGCACCCTATCAACCWCTAGGTGCTCAATTAACAGGGGCTTCATCGGTATTACTGTTTCAGGGGCTTTTGCAGTGGCAGTGGCTGTAGGGTGAGGTAGAGATCCCAGGCCTGACCAGGAGCAGASCCCTGTGTCTGGGCCTCCCGCTTGCCTGTCCAGGGCCTCTCTGCTCAGAAAAGTTGCCCAGAGTCTGAAGGCAGCATCCTCCTGCCTTGGGGACTAGGACTACCTCTCCACAGGGCTCTGACCACACTGCATTCTACCCGCTCTGGCTTCAGGGCCTCAGAGGACACTGTTGAACCCCCTGGGAGGCTCCGGGTGGCTGTCCAGCTCTGAGTGTATGATGACCAGATCTGGCTTTGCTGTCTTCACGGCCTGCAACTCCTGCTTGGCCAGCTCACTCAGCTCCACAGAGGCCAGTCTGCAGCCACATGCAGAGGACAGAGGGTATGGGTCAGCTGAGGGAGAGAACTCCAGGGCTGGGGGGACAAGACTGGGCACAGTAGGAGTGGGTGATGAAGGGGCTAGGCTGTGCCAAAGGCCCAAGTTTCCGAGGCTGTCTCTCAGGGCCTTGGTCCTTCAGGGGAGTAAAAGGGTGTGGGGATCACTGACCACAGGATGTGCATATTTGGTCAGTATAGTGATCAGGGCCAGGGTTGGGGCCAGGGCTTCAGGGGTGGGTTCTAGGCTGGGCTYCCTGATCTGTGTCTGAGCCTGGTCACTTGGGAGGTATCTGGAGAGGCTCCTCTTGAGGGTCAGGGAGTCCCAGCATCCACCCTCCCTGGGGTTACCGGCTGTGTCCCCACACTTTGTCCACCTGAATCTACCTGAGGGTCTGTAGGCTGCATGATGGGTGCTGCAGGACTGCACACATGTAGGTCACTGTGGGGTCAGACAGCTGGCAGCCGCTGAGGTCCAGGGTGGTCAGGGCAGGGCTCTGCCGGAGCATGCCTACCAGGTACTGGAGTGCTCCCGGGAGGCCAGACAGCTGCACCCTGAGAGGAGGGCTGGCTCAGGAGCTGCTGGGGGAGGATCCCATCCCTCTGTCGCTCCCAGGCCAAGCCTCACCTGAGTGTCTGCACCCGGCACTGGGGCCAAGCCAGGCCTTCGCTCAGCATACGCAGGCCTGCCTCACTGACCCTGTTGTGGAGGAGGCTGAGGTCCGTCAGGGCGGGTGCGACCTTCAGGGCCTCCGAGAGGTCTCGGCAGATGACATCGGGGAGTTTGCAGTGGGACAGCCTGTGGTCAAGAAGCTCGTGGGTCTGTGGGCAAGCCCCCGGCCACTTTTCTACCTCAACTGCACAAACCAAGGTGGGCCAGACCCCACCAGCTGGGCCCAATGTGGGCATCCTTCTGGTTCCTTATATGTATTTCCAGATGGCTGTACCTGGCCCCCCCACCCACTGGACTACTGGGCCATGTCGCCACTGATTCATGGGCATCTGGTCATTTCACCATCTGGTCAGTGGGCATTCCTGTTGGACAGGAACTGAACAGCTATCTCATTCTCAGTACTGTTCATGCCTCACGAAGTCTCACATCCACCCTCCAAGGTRGAGGATGCTGGTTGAGTTTCACAGAGAGGAAGCATAAGCCCAGACAGACTGGCTTGTCCAAGGGTACCCAGAGGCCAGGATTCACAGGCACCTGACCCCAGAGGGGGCACCTGCTGCCTTCCTCTAGGGGGTTGGCCCAGGAGTCTCCAATGGTACCTGGCAGCCTCCTTGGAAAAAAAAAAACCTGGCCATCCTCCCACTCCCAGGTGCTGAGCCCCTCTTTCCACCAGCACCACACCTTTCCCACTAGCACCTCACTCTCTGAMGGGGTGGGTCCCTGTCAGCTTTCTCCCTCCCTATACTCCTGTCTCTGGAGGGCATCCTGCCCCCTGGGAGGGGCTGGGGCATGGKTACTCACGTCAGGCTGCTTAGGCCGCACTGTTGGTCAGTCATGGCCTCACAAAGTGGACGCAGTGGTGAACCCAGGAGTTGTTTTGTGGAGGCTCGAGAACTGCAAGAAGAGAGGAAGTTGAGGCTGCTGCAGCGCTTCAGYGCCTCCTAGACGGGGCCCTTTCTTCTCTGTAGTCCTCAGGCCTTGGTGCTTCCTCTGCCATCAGCTCATGTTGAGCTAGGACCCCTCTACCCTTTAGTCCACTGAACCTAGAGTGAAGCCCAGGAGGGGTTCTGCAGGTCCCTAGGGCCAGCCCTGCCCTGTCCTGACACTCATCCTCTGAAAGATGCTGAACACCCAGGACAGGTGCTGAGTGGAGCTAAGTTCAAAGTGACTCGTGCACAAGCTTTGTCACAGAGGAGCTGGAAGTCTGGTGTAAGAAGCAGGCATGGGGAATGTCACGGTATAAAGTGGTCATCAGGGCACTTCTGGGGCCAGTGGMATCCCAGGCCAGCTGAAGCAGCCAGGGCAGGCTTTCAGGATAGGCAGCAAGCAAAGTGTTGAGGGGAGGGACAGCAGGTGCATGGCTCAGGGTGCCGAGGGCATGGTGGACTCTAGAGCTCTAGCTAGAGCTGTGTGGTGGTGTGCTGGAACATGGTGAGGACACCTAGTGAAGAAGAGGGGCACTGGGCCGCTGCCTGGCAAGGGGGTGAACAAAAGCAGCCCTGAGGTCCTCCCTGCGTCTGGGGGAACAGGCCTCAGGTTTGGACATGCTTCCTCAGTCCAGATGGGCATAGGTGCACAGGCATTCACTGCATACAAGCTTCATGCATTCCAGGGCCTGCCAAAGGAGCAGCCCTAGCCTGGAGACTCACCCCTGCAGCCGCTTCACCAGGCTCTTCTTCTTTTTCTTCTCTTGTGCAGCCGCCAGTCCAATGTTAACCAGCCGCAGTGCCTGTCCAGCCGGGCAGCATCGCACACAGTAGCTCAGAACCTCCAGATCCATGCGACTCAGTCGCACTCGCTCCAGTGCCAGCTCTGGGAGGCTGCTCAGGGCCTGCCGCACAAAAGCCTCCTCCTGTGTCTCATACAGGCAGTACAACAGCTCTAGGGGGATGTTGGGCTCTTCTATCTCCTCGTCTAGTTCCTCTGTGTCCTCCATCCCCTCTGATGCAGTCCTGGGGCAGCCCTGTCCCTGCACCCACCGCAGGGCRTCCTCCTTCACACGCTCTGGAACCACACAACCAAAGTGATGCTCGATGTCTCGGATCCGCTCTGTGCTCAGCAGCCCGAAGAGGAAGCGGGTGGTGAGCGCCAGGTGTCCACTTAGCTCCGTGTCTGTGCGCAGGAGTGACCCCACGCTACCCGTCGTCGGTGCCCCAGAAGCCCCCTCCTCCTCAAGCATGTAGGACAGTGCTGCGAAGAACTCCTGGAAACTCTGGTCAATGAATCGGAAGATGACCTCTGTCTTCAGCACGCCTGGCATCTCCTTCTTGCAGAGAAATAGTGTCTGCACTTTGGAGCCGCGAAGCTCCAGTTTCTCCAGGTCTTTTTCGGTGAACTGCGCCTTACGCCGGAGGACGCCCTCACGGGCCAGGAGGCACAGCTTGCGCAGCTCTCTCTGCACCCAGGAACCGTCGGCACCAGTGGAGCTCAGCACGCTGGCGATGAAGAGAAGGTACACCGAAGTGGTGGTCTTGGAGGTGCGCGACAGGTCCTGGCCCAAATCCAACTGCTGGCGCAGCACGGTGCACACGATCCAACACACGAAGGGCACGAAACACAAGCCGTACAGCGTCTCATTCTCTTTCACGAAGCGATAGGCACGCTCGGCCCTCCACTCATCCTGGAAGAACTTGTAGAAGTACTTCTTCTTGTCCTTATCGGAGAAACCTCGCACCTCTGCGCACTGTGGTGAACACAGGCGGCCCTGCAGCCTCCCAGGGGCGGCCGTGCGCGTGGTCACCAGCAGGCGGGCGGAGGGCAGCAGCGCTTTGCTCAGCAGCCCGCCCAGCACCCGCGTACCGCTAGTTGCCTCAAAGGGGTCTGTGCAGGGCTCGGCTTCGGCGGTCCCGGTGGCCGGCAGCTCGTCTGCGCCATCTAGTATGAAGAGCAGCCGCTGAGGCTGCGCTAGCATCTGTCGCACGGGCGCGCCCGGATCGGGGCACTGGTCCAGGATCAGGTCAGCCAAGCTGCGTGTGCCCGACAGCTCCAGCAGCTCGTGGCATGGCATGAAGAAGGCGAAATCCACTTGGCCTTGGTACAACTTGCCCGCCGCCCAGTCATACAGGATTTTCTTGGCCGCCATGGTCTTGCCAATGCCCGCTGGGCCCTGCAGTACGACGGTCAGCGGCCGCTGGCCTTCCTGGTCCCGCTTGAACAGTCGGTTGAACGTGTGTGTGTCCGAGCGCCGTGCGCGCTCCGGCTCTGGCTCCTCCGCAAGCCCCAGCGGTGCCTCCTCCAGGGCGGCGGTCTCGGGCGCGATGAGTAGCTTGGTGAAGCGCTTGTTGATCTTCACCGAGCGCGCGTTCCTCTCCTTCACTTTGGCGTGTTGCCTCAGCACGTGCTCGCGGTATTTCTTCTTGTACTCTGGGGGAGCGACAGGGAGCGGGGCGAGGATGGGCTGGCTTTCCAGCACCCTGGGGCCGGTGCCCTCCCGGCCAGTCAGGACTCGGTTTCCTCTGGCGCGTCATGGCGCCTTCCCGCGCCAGCCTTCCTAGGGCCAGCAGTGGCAGCGGGACTGAGTGCCCTGAGCCCGTCCTCCCACAAAAGACCTACCGGACACGGAGAGCAGCGCCGAGGAGCTGGGGCCGAGCCCTGAAAGGGAAACCTGAAGTGAGACTGCGCCGTGTGCGGGACACAATAGGGGGTCGAGGTCTCCCTCTAGAGCCTCCAGGATCTAAGGCATAGGATTTGCAAATTTGTGGGTAAAGCGCCAGGGTTTTATAGGGGAAGCTGGAAGGAAGGCAGCGGGCGGCAAAGACCCTGAACCAGGGACCCTGGGGAACCCGCAACCAGAGCTCACGCTGCTGCCGCTGCGCCTTGAGCCGGGCCGCCACGTCGCGCACGTCGGCTCTCTTCAGGGTCTTGCGGGCCACATCCAGCGCTGGCTCTGGCCCATAAAAATGGGTCAGCTGCTCCGCTAGGTCCATAGCGTCCGCACGCTCCAGTCTCCCCCAAGGGATGCTGCGCCCGTCCATCGGCGCATCCCGCAGCTTGTGGCGGAAGCGCTTCAGCTGCTCCTGGCTCAGGTCCTCCAGCGCGGCCAGGAGCAGCTCGCGGGCTGCCGCAGCGCGGGGCTCCAAGCTGGAGGCGAGCAGGATTTATGTATGCTGCCAGGTGACCTCTGCCACGCACACCGGGAGTTCTGGGTGTCCACAGTGGGCAGGGGCCCGATCCAGGGGATCTGGGCTAACGCATTGCCGAGATCCACAGGGGCAGAGGGAGAGCTCCAGACCACCTCTGCCGCCAAGCAAGGCCGGTGCTCCAACCTCCTCACTGGTGACAGGACTCACATACCAGCCTTCCTGCTCCATACCCCTCCCCCTACTTCTGGCTTTCTCCCTTCCACACACCCTGCCAGGCCAGGTGAAAGGACAAATGAGGTGTGTCCCTGGGCTGTCCTCTGTCCTTTCTCTCCCTCTCTGCAGAGCCAGGGAAGGACTGGCCTCAGCAGCAGCTGTCACCTGTTCTCAGATGGTGTCCCTGCATTTCTACTTGGCTCCCTGCACTCTCTCTGGGCTCTTACAGCAGGACTAGCCTGATTCCTGGGTGGGGAGCAGACCCTGTAGCCCTCTGTGGCAATGTAGTCTCTAGAACTCTGAGCCTTGCCCGGTGGAGAAAGGGCTGGGACCAGGGAGTCAGCCGAGTGAGGCCCTAGAGGGACCTCTCTCTGGAGACCCAGAGCCAGCACTCACCTGGAGCAGGAGGTCCCTGCCTCATCCATGGCGGCTTGTCTCTGGATCTAGCACTCAGAGGCGGAGTCAAGGACCAGAGAGGTGACCCCTACCCAGGGAGAGCTCAAGCCAAGTCCTGGGGGTGGGAAGCTGTTCTGCGCTGTCCATTCCCCAGGTCTGGGCATCTCCGGTGCTCAGTAGGCACTGAGGTGTCCATCTGATCTGCAGCAAAGCTCCTACAGGTAGGCTCTGTGGCACAGGCTGTACTGTCACCCTTTAAGTGCTGGTCTTGGTGACCTTTGATTCCCACTGCTCTTCTGTTCTTTTAATATTCCTTGCATGGGGTGTGGCATCCAGCCATAGCAGAGAGCAGCTGATTACAGAAGCAGACCACCTGCATGGAGGCGGTGGCTAGCTCAGAACCAGTCCTCCAGCTCAGGCTGGAGATGGTGAATTCTGCAGGTGGGGTGAAGAGGGGCATCCAGGCAGAGGGAACATGACAGTGAGGGAGGGCTGTGCTGGGGGGCCTTGGGAAGGGCCCATCCTCTCCTGGGCATGAGGAAGCGTGCCACRGGGTGGACTCTGCAGCTTCCCACTGTCCTGAGTGGGCTGAGAGGTTTGGACATGAGTAGTCCTCATGACCCCTGGGACCACCAGCGACCCCCTGCCTGCATGGGATGGGCGTGTGGGGGTGTGAGAAGTGAGTGCCTGTTTGTGTTCATGTGTCTGTGGTGGGTTACACAATGCTCCTCAAACAATCCCTGGGACATGTAAGTGTCCCCTTATATCCTAAAGGGACCTTGTAGATGGGACTAAATTCAGGATCCTGAGAGGGGAGTAGATCTTGGGTTATCCAAATGGGCTCCAAATGTCATCTTAGTGTCATAAGATGTCTGCAGAGGGCATCATTTCAGTGTCCTAGGATTTGGCACAGCGGTGCTTTGGGGCATAGAACAGGAGCTAGCTCTGAAGATGGAGGAAGGGGCCAGGAACCAAGGATTCCAGGAGCACCACTCTGGAAGCTGGAGAGTCCATGGGTCTCCTCTCTGGAGCCTCAGATGGAGCACTGTAGAGCCAACACCTGGCTCTCAGCCCAGTGAAACTGATTTTGGACTTTGACCTGTAGAACGAAGAGAAGAAGTGCGTGTCATTTTGAGCACTAGGTTTCATGGTCTGTTACCGCAGCTGCAGGAAGTGAATTCAGACTCTGCATGGCCCTGTGTGAGGAGAGCCTTCTGCTGTGGCCACGCACCTGGCCACAGGTCGTGCTCAACCTTGCTTCCCTCTGGAGCCCTGCTAGCTACCCTCGGGGAAGGAGAGCCAGAGCCTGGGAGTGTACAGTGTGCCCCAGCACTGCCCGAGGTCCCTGCCCCTGGGACTTCTTCCCTCAGGCCCTGCCCGTTTTTTCAATCCCAGGGGCTTCCCTGTGTCTGGGAGGGTACCTGGTGGTAGAATACTCACAGGATGTCCACAGGTTCAGAGGAMGTGGCCTGGAGGGACAGAGAGGGAGCACGCATTCTGGGGTGGGCTGTGCTCTGTGAAGGGCTTTCATGACCACGAGCCCATCACTTGTCACAGGCCCTGAGGACCCATGGGCTGGTGTGTCCAGGTACATGGCAGGAAGCCCTCACTTCAGGAGCCAGCTGGGCAGCAGGCAGCAAGGAAGAAGAAGGTCTCCTTTGTGCCAGGGTCTGGTATAAGCCCTCGGCAGACATGGTGTGAGATGCCAGGCTTGCCTTAGGATCTGTGCCTGGCCTTGGCTGAGGGAGTGACCTCCATGAGTACTTGGGCTCAGGGAGGTGCTGTCCATTTGGGATTCCAGCCCCCTTGGCAGGCTGAGCCCTGACTAGCTCCTCTGACAGCCTGGGATTTTGCAGAGGGACCTTCACAAGACAAAGCAACAGCCTCATGGCCTGACTGGGGAGAGTCTGGGGCTCCACACAGCATGGCAGGCAGCACAGGGCCCCTAGGGAGTGGCCTACTCCTGGATACCCCTGTGCCCTTGCTGGCCCCTCGAGGAGCTGACTCTGAGTCCAGGACCCTCACACTCCTCCAGAGGCCGACTCGGCCCACATAAGCACGGCTGTGCAGCTCTTCATGCACATTCAGTTTTCTGTGTCAGTTCTGGAAAGTCAGTTATCCTTAATGGCTTCTTTCCCTTCATTGTCTAAGACAAAGTGCAGAACCAAACCTGGGATCTGGTCCTGGATGTACGCCCAACAGCAGCAACCTTGGGTGGCTGAAGTTGTAAAAAAGGCCTGACTCCCTGAGGGAAAGACTCAGTCTTTACACTAGACACCCTGAACAGGCTTGTGTCTATTAAAGAAACTGGATCCAGGACTAAAGACCTTCCAGATCTCAAAGCATTAGGCTCAGGTGGTGGTGGTGGTGAATTTTTCTAAACAGTTAAAGAGATAACATTGTCCATAATAACTTTGAAGTAGGAGCAGGGGAGAAGCCAGCAATGACCGAACACCAAAATCAGACAGAGCTATCATAAATCCATTCAGACCAGTATCTCTCAAATACAGATGCAAAAACCCTCAACAAAACATGGGCAAGTCCGATCCAGCCTGTGTGAAATGCATCCTACATCAGAACCAGGGGAAATTTGCTCCAGGCATCTGGAGACATCAAAAAATCAATTAATAGAGTCCCTCACACCAGAAGGCTGAGGTCCAGGAGACAAGGTYACACCAGGAGAGGCAGGAACAGCTTCCACAAAACCCTACAGCCATTTGTGATTTCAGAAAATGCCTGGTGAGATGGATCAGAGTGGGACTTCCTTAGGAACACCTCCAGCTGAGATTGGATGCGGGAGGGGTGAGAAGACTGGGAACAGGACAGGGATGTGCCCTCCACCCTGCTGCATTGTGCGGGAGGTTGCAGCCTATGCAGGAGGACCAGACAGGAAATAAMACGGACACTGGGAAGGAAGAAATAAACTGTTTCAGTTTGCATATGACACGATTTTCTCTATGGAAAATTTCAAAGAACAAAAAGCAGGACATAGATTAATGTGCAAGCCACTTGCTCTCCTAGGCACTAGTAACCCCTGGATCTGAACTTTCAAACATGATATCATATACGTTAGCACCCAAAAGAGAAATACATAGGTATAAGTCTAACAAAATGGGTACAAGATCTGTATGAGATAAGCTAAAACCTGACAGAGAAATCTAAGGTCCAAATAAAGAGACACTGTGTAGTGGGTAGGAAGACTCAACATTATTACAATGTCAGTTCTTCCCAAATTGATCTATGGATTCTTTAATGAAATCAAAATAAAAATACCAACAAGTTATTTGTGGGTGTAAAACCACTGATTCTAAAGTTTATGGAAATMCGAAATCTCAGAACAACAGGACACTGAACAACAAAGAACACTGCTGCCTGGTGTTCTTTGTACCTAGGGCAAAGGGCCTGCAGCAGGCGGTGTGGCTGGGAAGAGTCTGGACAGAAGACCAGGGGACAGAATAGAGAGCCCAGGAACAGGCACACTTGATGAGGAGCAGAGCGACTCCAGGGGAAAGGACTTCCCAGCAAACACTGCTGGACATGGACCTCACACGCACACAGGCAGATCAATGTGGGTCAAAGAAGTGATATTAAATGCGAAGGGGTAAAACTGTTAGAAGGTGATGTTAGAAAATCAAGAAGACCTTAGGTAGGGCAATGACTTTTTCATGCAGCACAAAATCATGGTGCATGAAAGAAAAAGTATGTTTCATGCTTGTTAAGATCCAAGGCTTGTGCTCTGCAGAGACACTGTCAAGAGAATACAAAGGTGAGTTGAACACTGGGAGGGAACCTCTGCAAAACACCCCCCTGATAGAAAGACTGTTGTCCAAAATAGAAACATGCAGGACTCAACAGTATGATAGCGAATGACTCAGTCAAGACCTTTCCAAAGAGGAAAGGTAGAATTTATCTATTAGTTCTAGAAGTTTTCTGGTGGAATTTTTTAGGTCTTCTACATATAGAATCATGTCTTCAGCAAATGGTGATAGTTTGAATTATTTTTTACCTATTTGTATTTCTTTAATTTCTTTCTTCTAATTGCTCTAGCTAGAGTTTCAAGGATGAAGTTGAATAGAA